AAAAAAAAAAGAAAAAAAGAAAAAAAAGAAAAAAAGAAAAAAAGAAAAAGTGTTCTCCAGGCTTCAGCCGAATCATTTCCCAGTTGTACTTAAGTAGTGGACTATGCAGGCAAGGTCAATTAGTCTCATTTTGAAAAGTTACGAGAACTAATCAGAAAGTTCTTCTAAAACCTGTTGTAGAAAACATAAACACAGGATAAGGATGGAGACTGGGAACTGTATTCGTCAATAAAGCCAGAAGAGCAAAATTCACTTCTAAGTGAATTCAATCAAAATAAACACCAGTGAAGAAGAAAAATCAAATCCTCACAGTGTTCATAATGAGGAATTTGTAAAGATATGAGGCAAAAGTGATGTTGGTGCAGTATTTTAGGCAATTGCAAGGAAACAGAAACTGAGATCATGCTACAGATAAATCAAATTTATCAGTGTAGAAAACTTTGCAGTTGCTCAGTGCCAAGGTATATTCGTCACACGTGTCTATTTTAGTTTGTAATGTTGCTCTTCTACTATTTTCCCACTTCTTTTCTCCTTTTTGCCATTCTTTATTTTATCAGTTCTATTTTTATATTTTAAAATTCTTGAAAAAAGTTATTTATTATTTGTATTACTCTGTAAAAACTCATGCCAGCATATAAGATTATGAACTTCCTGTCATTGTCTTCAATAATTTCTATGTCACTTGGTACAAAAAGAAAGTCAAGGTAAGATTTACAGAAATTGCAATCAGCCACCTTGAAGAAATGCAGCAATTTACTTATGAACTTCTAAGGTTTCTTACCATTAGAATATATTTCTTATGGATTTATGTAAGATTCAGATCACATAAATACAGTCCTTTAAACAACATGGGATGGGGCAGAAGGTGTCATATAAGGATATTCCCCACATTGAGGGAAAAAGCTGTGCTAAGGACGGCACGTTCTCTCTTTTCCTGTTCAGGAAATCTTACTCAGTCTGCAGCTCCTAATGAGACGTCTCAAAAATAAATATTTTGGAAGGGTTTGTACCATGAAATCATCTGTTCATGTCTTCTCAGCTTTCTCTGTACATTGTGTTTGTTGTACTTCAGATGCTGGTAACAATTCTAACTATGGATGCTTACACAGAAATGTGTTTATTCATTCAATCTTTTCTTGCTATCTTCTGTACTTATTTTTTTATTAACTGTTCCCTCTTCTTCAGGGCTTAGTAATACTCCCTTTATCTACTCTACTGATGTTCTTTTCTTCATAACAAAAGATATGAAACTCCTACTGTTTTTAAGCTTAGAAAGTGAAACACTGACCCAAATGAAATCAAAAAACTTGACTCTTGCTGATGTCATTAGTACCAGGATCTCAACTGTAATTTCAAAAAGGAGCATGAGAAGTTAGCTACCATACTCCTAGAAGACTGCCAGAAGCATGTGAAATCAGACTAAACAAATTTGGCTGACCTGGGGTTTTTTCTTATGTAATATAAATGCAGGTAAAATTCTTGATGAAGATACACCCAGTATAAAAATATTTTCAGTTCCAAAGTTATATTTGTAAGAAGATTTAGATATGCAATGATATGCAAAATCAATACACACATTTATTTTTAAATGTACATTTACAAATCCATCAAAACAACTCATTTGTTTGCAGTGCCTACTGACTTACATCATGTTTTATTGATATATAAAGTTCTTTTTAAAAAAAATGTGCCTTTCCTTGCCTTTCCTTGCCTTGCCTTGTTTTCTGATTGTACTGACTAATACCTCTGGAGTAAAAGTGAAAAACAGAGGGGGAGACCCAAACCAAAATCATCAATATGTTACCAGCCCCTTAGTGTCCCTAAGTTCTTGAAAGTCTTTTTTGTTCTGAAAAACCTTAACAGGTGATCCACAGAAGGCTACTGGAAAGGCTAAGTAGTCTTGAGGTAAAAGACAAAAGAAATCATCAGTCAATGACTGGGTAGAAATTGCTAATGAAATCAGAGGATTCAATAGCATTATATTCCCTCTTGCATCAAAACTTTATGAAGATATATCTTTACTTTCTATACCAAGTTTGATATTCTTTAATATACGTGCAGGTGATTTAGAATGTGGCAAGGGGAATATCAAGGCAGCTGAGTTTGTAATGAGATAGAATAGAATTAGAAGGCAGTGTGAAAAAACTTCAGAAGACCTGAAAAACTGCAGTGAATCATAATGACAAATGAACATCCATACCAATGAAAACAAACAGTAGAGGTGAAACAATGAAATATTTTAACCACATTTAGCGTTTAAAGTAATGATTGCAGGTTAAGAAGTATACATGAATGTCATTGCACTCTAGTCAATTAAGATTTCCACCCAGTGTGCAGCAGTAATTGGAGGCAAAGGAAATATTTAACAAGATTACTGAAGAATGGGATAAAAAAAAAAAATCCAAAATTGTTATAATACAATAATAGCAGGCATTGAGTCACCCTCAGTTGGACCGCCATCACCTAGTCTTATAATTAATGGAGCAGAAGAGAGTTTTCCAGGAACACACAATGCAAACTGAAAAGGTTACAGACTATTTAAATGAAAATTTTAACTCTTTTCACTAATGGGAACAGAAGTGAACATGATAAAATATACAAAGCTATTACTTTTTCACAGAAAATCTATCAGAAATTCCGATTTGCCCTGTTTAGAGTGAAAGAATATCAGTTAGTCATAGAAATGAAAAGGTGGATAGGAAATACAAATTCAATACAAAAGTCCTTTTCCATACAATGCACAATCACACTGTGTAATCAGTTGATATTACTGAAAACACAAATTTTAGCAATACATTTTCCAATGTATTGGAAAGTCATATGAGTAACATCGATATCAGATGTGTGGCACTATCTCACCCAGCCCTTGCAAGTGTTTTCTTCTGGTAGACTGGAAATGGCAAAACACAGCCTGTACAATGAGTGAGGCTGTTTCCATGCAATGGCAATAAATCTGCCTTTGAGAGGCCTGTGCTGGCCATTGGCAGAAAGAGAAAGAAAAGATAAACAACACACACTTCTAATTCTTCTTCTATTATTATGATAGTGATCTATTATTATGATCTACCTAGTGTGTTTGGATGAATAAATCCACCAAAAAAACCATTGAAATCTAGGATCCTGTGTCCATTAGAGTAGAGGTATTCGCCCTTGCACTTTCTTCTCTTGTCTGTTATCATCTCATGCCCTGCTTCAGATCCATGGTACAAATGCATAATCCCAACCACTTCCATTCGCAATCCTTCCACAGAGGTACATACTGAACATCCTGGAAAAAAGGGAAAGGCTGTTGACATCATAATCAGCATGCTTATCCTGTAAGCTCAGTTAAAGACTAGTAAGTTAAAGAATAACCTCAAACTGTAACTTACTCTCCACTAAAACTTCACTCTAAATTTACTTGGCTCTATTCCAAGATTTAAAATACTGCAAAATTAGGATTAATTCTTTTAATTATGGAGGCATAACTATTTTAATGCAATTTCTACCCTTCTCCATTTACCAAGACTAGGAGTGGCTGGATTTTTCATCTCTTTTTCTACTCATCTTTTAGTACAAATCTTATTGTTTCAGTCTCTCCTGTTTCTGGACTAGAACCCAGTGCCGGCCAAATACACATAAAAATGTACTGGCCACCTGGGCAATTTTATTTTATGCTTTTTATACTAAGGGTAATTGTTGGTTTTTGATAATCCATGTCTGCTGGCTGTCCTACAGGGTGAGATAAGTAGCTGGAAAGACACTGGTGTGGTTATTGGGTCATTACAGAAACCCACCTGTCTACACTGAAGTGCCACCAGAGCAGACACAGTCCCTCAAATGCATTTTTGGGTACAGAAACACTCTCTGAGAAGAGCTGAGTGAAGCTAGAATCTAAAGCTAAAACTGGGTGTATGTGTAAGTCAACATTGTAGTTTTTGAGTTCTAAAAAATTAAACACTACAAAAAGTGTTATTCTGCTAGAATTAAACTTTCTACCAAGGGGGCATCTCAAGATCAACTGCTGGCCAAAACCAGTCAGAAAATGGAGAATTTCATTGCCTAAGCATATGTAATTTCTAAGCAGCGTGTGTGTCTGTACATATCAATTATTTACACTGTAAATACAAGGTAATTATTTTTTAAAAATCCAATGACAATAATTATCTCTGATGTATTTTATATTTGCATTTGTGTGTTTATATCCACTCTTATTCCACAGATTCTGTTGATCTTCCATACTATTGCTGGTGCCATTAGAGTTTTCTTTTCTCTGTCCAATGCTGCCATTTTTTGTTCCTGTTCCATCATAAATAAAACATAGACAAAATTTCAACTTGAGAGGATCAGTAGACTGTCTTCTTGTTACTTGTCATATAGGATCCATATATCTAGAAAAGAAATAATCTACACTTTTCTGCCATTCCATTCTGGCTTCATGAGGAAAAAAGTCAAACAAATTTTTGCTTGTTTTAAACGAAAACTAAATTCTAAATATGGATTCCTATCACCCTTGAATTCCTCGTCAAACAAGATGCCACAAAAGAAATAATCCAGAAAATCAAACAAGGGTAAAAAGAAAGTGATTTCAATTTCTATGGTTTTAGTTCCATAATATTTACTGACTTCGTATTCATCTAATTAAAGAAGCAATTTCCAGAGAAATTCAGATTTCACTTTTATTATACTTTTTAAATACTTTTCTCAGTGTTTTGGCTGCAGTGAATAGCTGAAAGACTAAGTATAAAGGTACATAAACAACAGTAATCCTCAAATGTACTACTATTTTTTTTTTAAATCTTTAAAGGTAAATATTCCTTTTTTTAACCAGCTACATGGGGTTTGTATGCTCAAAGGAGATAGACTTTGAAAAGGTTGCAGTCCTTACCTTCAGGACAAGTACATAGTTCAGAAAGAAAAAACAGACTCACTTTTCATAGAACAAAAAAGTAGTAACCATATTACTCCTACCCTCAGAGGCAAAGAAAGCTGAATTGCAGCTGTCCCTTGGCTTTCTCTCTAAAGCAATACAAAGCCTTGAACTATACCTAAGCTATGCAGACTTAGCTTTCAAATCTCCATGGTTAGACTATAAAAATGAAAAGCAAAATGAAAGCTTGCGAGAATGAACAGGTTATTTCAGGGAACGGTACCGCAGCATGAAGTGCCACCTGCTGTCCTGAGGTTATAAACTCTCTGCTCCTGTCACCTACAGCTCTCAATGCAGCACACCCAGCTGCATCCCACAGCAGCACACCGACCACGGGCACCCACTGCATCAAAAAGGTAGCTGCTTTCCAAGGTAATACTGATAGTGCTTAGTCAAAAGAGCAATTCACTGTCAACTCTGCAAGGCAGTTAAAAAGCACAGCTAATTATAAACCAGTTAAGTTTCTGTTTAAACATAGGAGTTTGTGAGCAACTCATCTAAGTGAAATGAATTCCATAAATAGGTTAAAAACTAATCTTTTCTCAACCAATTAAGCCAGACAGAAGTTTATACTTCTCTCTTATAATGAATGCAACATGTAGATAAAATTAAGCATAACTGTAAGAGAACTTTAATGCAGAAGAAAACCCTTAAATGAATTATGTATATACAGTAACATAACACAGTTCCTTTGCCAGTGAAATAACAAGAGCATGAAACCTCCTAAGGAAAAACAAGTTTTCTACTTGCAAACAACCCAGGCAGGCAGCAAGAATTTCAACTTATATGTATCATTGTTTGCCCTGCCTGTGCACCAGATAAACTCAAGAATGTTAAGTCTAGCATGTTTATGTTATACTTCAATTTTCTGAATATACATTATTCATCTTTTTAACAAAAACAACTCCATCGACTCACTGATAAAAGAAAGACAAGGACTAATAGCTATCCTCAATAATTGCCACATAGTGCTACTTCAAGTAAGAAGAAACCAGTAATGGCATGATTTATTCAAGGTTAACATTATATTCAAAATACAGTCTACAATTATTTTTTTTTTCATGGTACATTATACGTGCGTGTCGTAGACTGATTCTTTTTTTTCTCCTAATGACTTCCCAGCCTGCCTTTAAACCACATACCATCTTTGCCACATCAGTTACTTAAACAATTAGGGTACAATTGAACAGCATGTTCAGATGTAATATAACTGGCAGAAATAACGAAATACTCTTTGCTTTATATAACCCTTATGAAAACATGAGTACTTTTCAAGCATCCAGTCCCACATGATCAATGCAGAACACTGGCCATTGCCAAAAGCAGAGCCTGAAAATTTCACAACAGTCAAATTTGATTCATTGTGACTATTAAATGCCTTAAGACAATTCTTAGATAAAGGAACTATTTCTAATATGAAGATATATGTAGTTTTCAAAAATTTGTTTCTGAATGTTCTCCTAGAATTGCAGTATTCTAAATGCATTAATTCCTAGATCTAATTTTAGCAATCAGCATGTTGGGAGTTGTTTGACACTAAGCTGGTCATCTTCACTTGATGGACTGTACTTTACAATACACTACAGATCTGTATTTTTCATTTTATTTGTGACTTTTCACAAGATCAATAGAACGTCAAATGCATAAGGATGGTAGAATTCAAATTTGTCTAAAAATGAAGTTTTCAAAATTCCTGCAATAAAGTTTACATCGGGATTATTTTGCTTGTCATATGCATTAAATCCTGATTAATTCATATCAAATTCAAATACATAACTGATAATTTGTGTTATCAAAGAAAACAGAAACAGTTTTCTGCATTGACCTTTACACATCAATAACAGTATTTTTTAAGATACCTTAGACTAATGCCTACTGATTTTATCATAATAACCTGTTTGCTTTACCAGTTGTTACCCATTTAGAAACAGAGAGCACAGTTTATAATACCCACACCAAAAAATAACAACAATACAGAACACTGTATTAACTCAAGCACACCAACTCTATGAAATTACTATTATGAAAGTTATATTGATTCTGTTCCTTACTCTCTGCTCAATCATTGCCTAAAGGAAATTTTCATAAGCATATAAGTGAACAATAACAGTATTAAGTCTAAAACTGCTGATAAAATTCAACAAGATTTTCAAGAAACATATTTGAGAGATGTCTAGCTAGTTTACCTCTCATTCTGTTATTTGACATTTTCCAATAAAGCTCCTTGAAAATAAATATATTTCACAAATTTTAATACTGATTCCTATGAAAATTGCATAGCAAAAAACTAGGTTCATATATAATATACATAATGTTATCGATATTCATAAAATAAATCATATTACTTTACATTCCATAATATATAGGACTCCCTTTGACAGGCTGTGATTTGTTCTTGGTAGGTTTTCCCAAAGAAGTACTAACTTCTGGCATCTACCTGTGATAGTCCTTTTATGTTATTCTTTCTCCTGCAGAAATAAATCAGTTTACTCTGACCTGGTCACAAGTGGCCACAGCCTATAGGACTTCTTACAAAGAAAAATCAAAGGATTTTCTTATTGTTAAAAAAATTCCCTCAACTCTTAAAGCCCTCCCTTTCATGTTTTGTACTTCAGCATCAAACTAGAATTTTGTCCCTGTTACAAATAAAAAAATTTCTTCTATAAACAACACTCATAATAATTGTAAGTTATCAGAAATCAGTTCTGTGTCTGTAAATGCTATCTCTCTGGGATAATGTCACAGGGATAGGGAAATGGATATGAGAGGAGGATGGGACAGGGTGTGGATGTGGATCTGCAACAGAGAGTTTCATAGCGTTACTTTCATTCCTTTGAGAGCAACCTTCCATTGATCTTTCAGGTTCCTGTGTCAGACAATTGTCTATTCCAGCAACAGGGAAAAGGTGACAATATTCTTGGCTTCAAGACCCTCAGGAGGGTCTTGAGCTTCAGGAGAGGTGGGTAGGGGAGAATAATATTGCAGGTCTACAACTTAGCTGACAAACTGCACTTTTGTCATCACTTACCACCATCTTTGCAGCTACTCTTCTAAAATGTGGAGCTTAAAAATTAGCCATATGGAAGAATTTTGCTCCATAGATTGGCTGGGATAGTCAACTTCTAAATCACATTAATGATAAGAAATATCCTCTTCTGTGTTAACTTCTTTAAAAATCTCCTTTGCGTAGATCTGTAAAAGGCTACACATTGGCTTGGAATGCCATGCTTTCTTCTCTAATATCTCTGAAATATCAGTGTTTCTGGTGGGCCAACACAAAGTAAAAAAACACAATCTCAATCCCTCTCATCAAGCTAAACATATTTTATTAGAATTATACTCCCCACACTGTACCTCCAATCAAATATTTTTATTTTTTGGAAATTAAAAAGACAGAGACCCCACAAATACTTCCTTTGTTGTGACAAGTTGTTTCAATACTAGTTGTTCATTACTTCTTTAATATAATCAGGCTCACAAATAAGGGCAGGTGATATACTGTAAATAGTGTTCTGCCATGTATGACAAGTGTGGGAGGAAGCACATTTTATAAATAAATATCTTGAAGGACAGGTTGCATGCCCTGGAACCTGAGTACACAGGCAGTGCTGCAGTGACGAGAAAGAAAACAAGTCTCAGGCAATACCATGGCCAGTATAGCAAACTAGACAGTACCAAGCAAGCACTACTGAAAACTAACGAAGCACCTGCTGAGACTGACACCAAACCTCCAAAATCCCCAGATGGCCTCTACACTTAGGGCACATCTCTCTGCTAGACTCAGTATAAGCAGGAATACATGTGATTTTATAAAAGCATCATTTACAGACAAACAGCCTCTGCACCCCTGTTCTCTGTGCAGATGAAAATAAAGACTGGAAAGGAACAAAATAAAAAAGAGGTTTTTAGGCAGCTGGTTCCTGCACCACCAAGTCTTCCTGAGCATTTTGTAAATATTCCTAGTTAGTATTATAATTTTTTCATATTGTACCTTATCTGACAGTGTAAAATTCCATTTACTTCTTGTTAGCAGTCAGTGGAACTAATGCCAGGGCTCTGAATTTGTTTTTACGTATTTTTAAATGTAAGAAGCCCCACCCTTTTGCTTCAGTACTTACTGTTGTCCACCCAGTTGCAAGAAATGTAGCTATGTCAGCGTGGTGTGTTAAGTATCCATGCAATCTACACAAAAAAAAAAGGCTCACCTCAGGTCCTCAAGTTAGCAAACACAGAGAGTTACCTTTAAATTTATGTTTTCTTTGGAAATACATAAGTCCTTATACAATAACTGTAATTAAAATTAGTCACATTCAGTAAGTACTGGTTATCAGTTTCCTCCCAACTCAGTACAAAGATGCACTTAATGCATCAGTCTAAGCTGTTTCCTGTGAACATTCTTCTACTTACAGTTGTGGGGACCTACAGTATTCATCTAATTTTCTACTCCAGACCCACTTTTTTGTACTTGGTATGAAAACACAATTGCCTCATCTGTCTTGTCCCTCATGCATGCCTTGTCTACATCTGTTGCATCCAGCATTTTACTGGGTTTGGATTTTTACTGCTAGCTGTAAGCATCATAAATAGTAGTCTTATACCAAGAAGACATTTTAAAAATATATATATGGTTTGACTAGTAACAACCCCAAAGCCAGAGCTATGGAAGACAGCTGTTAGAGTCAGAAAGAGAAGGCAAATTCTCTTACACTGACTAGATAGGAATGACTCCTAGAAAGCCTCTGGAAATGCTAGTTTGATATATGAATAACCAGTATACCCAGAATAAGTTAAATAGGTAGAGGCTTGTTTAGGCTCCTTTCAAGGCAGGACTAGAGTAAACACATTCTGTTTAAGAACATACACACCCCAGGCCTGAACAACAAGATACTATCACAGTCAAAGCAACCTTCAAGCCCAGAAACTTAGAGGAGCTCCAAAGACAGTATGCACTGTGAAGAAGAGGAAGATGAGGAAGAAAGGGGTCTTGGGACCCCTGCCTCAATTCCGGAGAGGTGTACCAGGGGGCAGATTTGGGGAGGACCTGGAGGGCAAATACTTCTGGGATTGGATGGATAATACTTATAAAATTATAGAACCACTTGACACGGTGCACTTGCCTTGTTGTACTCCTTGCACCAGAAGGCCTTAATTAAAGACCTGTTCTATATCTTATCTCTACTAAATTAGCCTGGTGAGTTTTTTTTGCTCTCAATTTTTAGGTAACAATAAGAACAGCTCAGAATTCTGAGGGTATTGATAAGTTATAAGGAAGAACTGTGAGTATGTGCACAGAGCACAACTTGAGAAAAAACTGTGATCAGGAAACATACAGAAGCTTTAGTGAAACAACTGGGAATCAGAAGATGACAACTCAGAAGCAACAAGAATCAGGGCATTCAGGGTATGGCAGAGGCCCACTCTTCCCTCCCTGACTTATAATTTCTGGTCAGCAAAAACTCATTGTTAGCTCAGTGAGATAAAAAAGTATAATAATGCTTACTCTAGGAACTCGTTAGTCCTGACTATCTATTGTACATATTCAACAAATAAAAAATCTGCTTTATGCCTTTAAGTGGTGTCTACTTTGCTAACTTGCTTTAAAGTTACTTGAACAAGTTGATACAGTGAGGGAGAGTTACACAAACCATCCAAAACAGCCCCAGAAGACCCAGTGTTCAGGCTAATGTCCATACAGTGACATTTCAGTGCAGCCAACAAAGCCCAGGCAGATATTCTGCTCAGTGTTGGCTGGATCTCCACTGAATAAAAAAGGAGTTTAGACATATAGCACTCATGTAGATGCTGAATTTCAGGTCTCTGAATCTCACCTGGCCATGGTGTCACAGGCAGATTTACAGTGGCAGGAAGTGATAGAGCCTTTTTTGCCCCTCCTTTTTCAACTCTGATCTCCAGTGTCTAGATGTAGCCCCAGCATCATCCTGGAGGTGCAACTGCTACAAGGCAAAGGAAAAAGAGACAAGTCATGTGGCCACAGCAAGATGGGACAACACCACTCTCTTCAGATGTCTCGGTCCATGTCAGGAGGTGATTCATCCCAGTCACATGGCTTCAGCATGCTGTAGTCATGACCTTCACCATGCCTCACCGGGTCTGGGCTCAATCCCATCCTGAGCTCTGTCCCAGAGTGTTCCTCTCATCTCATAAGTATCTGCTTCTAGGTATTGTAAAGAAAAATTATGATAAAAACACTAAATGCTGGTAATTTCAGGCACTTTGAAAGAAATTAGAGAAAAATAATATTTTTTATCTTGGTGGATGACAGTAATATATTTAAGTTTTCTCTCTATGCAGTAGGAATTTAAATAAGTCTTTATGCAAGCTCTTTGTTATCTAGCCATTATTTAATTCTTATGCCAGAAAATCTGACAGTTTTCTTAAAAGATGGTTTTATTCCCTGTAGACAATAAAAATAGTGACTTTTTAAAGTGTTTTTCTATATATTATTATCATTTTCTTAACGAATAATTTTCTGTTATCTGTTATCTCATCTGAACATACAGGCAATTATCTTGTTATATTACTGTTTTCCATAATTTAATTTTCAATTTGATTTTTGGACCAAAGCCACTCTTTATATCTCAGAAATCAATTTTTTATGGTCTCTATTACTTATCTTCTTAACAGCCTCTATCTGCAAGTCTTTTTTTTTGATCAACTAAAGCACATAGTGAGAAACTATCACCCAAAAATCATATTTTCTTTTTTTTTCTTTAACTTTTCTCTAGACTTCCTCCACTTTCTCTGTCAGAAACATTCCACTTTCGTCAGAGATCTAATATCATAATTCTGTTTTTCTTTTTCCTCTTCCCTCCTTCCTACTCATAGCTTGTAATTTGATCTGTGACAGCTTTAGAAAAAAAACAAGTCTGGATTTAGTAACTCTCTGTCATTCCACGTTTCACTAAATAGTTATGCAGAACTGAGATCCAAATACTCCCAAATTTGGAAAAAATCAGATTCGTGTTCAAATTGTTCTGCATTATGTTATAGAGAAATCCTCCAAAAATCCACTGTGACATAGGGTGCAAGTCAACACACTTTTAGGAAGAGCTGCATTCTTTCCTAAGCCAAAAAAAAATGGTTTACTACTAAGAGCGACTAAGGGAGAATGTACAAGAAGAATTAACATTTCTGGGCACAGAAATACTTATCAGAAACAAAGCCAGCTTTCATAATCACTGTTAAATGTACAGCTGAGACCAATGTTACTATCTATTTTTTATGTATTATTTGCCCTGGTATACTTGTGAGAACCAAGTCACCCTCCAGCACCACCTGTTGAGAGTGCTTTGATCACACTATATAGATGACTCCAGCTTTTTCTTGGAGTTATTTTGGTTTATTTGGAATATTTTTTCCCTTTATATCACTATTTCTTGGGTTATTAGGTATGTACCTAGTTACTGGCTTCTCATGGGACACTTCTGCTGTCTGTGTTGCCACAGCACACCAGGTGGCAGGGATCAGTCTATCTGAGATTTCACTGGTGATCCATGAATGCTGTCAGAAGCATCTCATCTTTTGCACAAAACAAAACTAAGATATTTCTTTCAAGATTTAGACCCTAAGGACAACAGGTGACCCATAATGTGTGGGGCACAGCCCTCCCAACACATTGAAGCTGAGACACTCAATTAATAGAATAAGTCCATTACAAGGCACAGAGAGTCTAAAATCAGAAAGTATTTAGTTTGACTAGAAAACTCTTGATAGCACAGAAATAAAAGCAGAACTGTACATTTTTCTAAGGTACAAACTAATGGTTTAAGGAAGTAATGATAGGAAAACAGCTCTCTCAACAGAAATACAAGAAATATCAATGACTCGACAGTGCCATTTTCCCATGACAGGCATTTAGGTGGAACTAAAGGATGACAGGACAAAACACTCCACTGTTCTTCAAAGAGAGAAGCTTGAGGGCATGAACTGTGCAGGACACATTGCTGCTGAAAGGGTGGTGCATCTACTGTTGAGCTTCATGTCAGCTCATGCTTGAAAATCTACTATGCGTCCCTTTCCCACATGAATTCCAAACCATCTGAAAACAGAGTTCAAGGTAATCATATAGTTTTTTAAATGCAATGTCTTTTACAGTCACCTTACCAAAAAGTAAATTTGATGGGAATCTGTTTTATACTGTGATCAACTGTTATTCCTTCTTGAGACTACATGAGACTGTTTTTTTTTTACATGCGATTATATGTATAAAAAATTTTGATTGCACTTCTGGGTGCACTGCATATACACTGTAATTCAGTCATCACATATATAAAACCAATAATTTGTAGATAAAACAACCCCACATTATAAAGTTTTTACTTATATAGCCATCCTTGATTTGTCTTAGAAAACCAAAGTAAATTAAATAAACTTTGAAGTCTCCTTTAGTCGAGTTACAAGCTGAAGAGAGAAAAGAACAAGGAAAAAAACAACATGTGTTGCTCCAAGTTAATGTTTGAGTTTGTCCTTATTTCTTATCCTCCTTTTACCCTTAAAATTTTAAATTATTTGTTTGCCTCACCAGAGCCAAATTGCTTTGATCCTTTAATTTTCTGCATTATTTTTCTGTTTTTTGTTTCTCCGCTAATCATTAATTCATCGTGTTGTGAACTGACTACTAAAAAATTCAGGTTTTACACAGCATGCAATGACGTATAATATGCTTAGCTTTTACATCCAAGAGTTTGAAGACTTCCTGATTCATTGTATGAGCCAATGAACGCGTTTATCTAATGCTTTGAGAAAGGAATAATCTTGCTCTGTCTGCTGTCTTTGTTTCCCTTTAGATTATCATATTCTCTTGAGTACCACTGTCAAACTGACTTTTGTCAGAGCTAATTAATTCCTCTGTGCTTGTATCTTTAAAAGAAACATTAACTCTTAAGAACCTCTATCATTATGATAACAATAAACCTAACAGATGATCCTCTTAGTGTAAACTGCCAAACCTAAGGAGCTGCTCCTTACACTTGAGTAGTTGGGAACATCATATGTTTTAGATATGTCCTGGCAGGGTTCTGCAGTTATAAGTAGTTTTCAACTCTGTATTAGATATTTAACCCTCTCTTCTGTCCCAGTCATCAGTTTGACTTCTTTCCTTCCATTGCTCTTCGTCACCTTTCTTCTCAGTCTCTCACTATTGTACATTTCCTCTTTTTCTTTCAGAAAATTCCCTAGTTTTCTGTACTGTTTTCTAATTCCTTTGTCAAATAGGCTATGAACAGACTAGATATTCCCCCAGTCTCTAAAATCATGTGACGTACTGCCTACAACAAATGCACCAGCTTCATCTTCTGCAGCTGGTTACTGTCCAGCTTGGCTTTTAATATTTCTGCTCTACTGAAGATACTCCTACTGCTCTCCAGGTCCCTTTCCAAAGTCAAACATCAGGACCCTTTCTTAATAATTTTCCTTTTTACCTACTCTTTTATTTTAGATATGAATCAACATTTTAGTCTTTACTTAAATTTTATTCTGGTACACATTTGAAATGAGGTCCTTTTCCTTCTGCATCCTCCCATGACTTCAGCAGTCCTCGAGAAGGTAAAGTAATTTTCCTGAGAAGATTCCCGAAGTTACTAAGCTGGTAATTTATCTTTTAAAGATCCTCTTTATGATCACTCACCTGAATCAGACCTTCAAGTATCATGAACTGTCCCTTTTTAAAGATGCAAAAAATATACAGCTTATACTAGAAATTTCGCAACCAAATATTTTGTCCTGAATTTTATATGAATCATCAGTTTCCCCTAGGCAATTTCTATAGTGTGGGAATATTTCCCATATAAGAAGCATTTTTAAAAAATTG